GAACAACTGCTTCTTGGTCTAGGTACAGATTTCTTAAAAGTACAATTAAGTGTTCTGGAATACTCATACTTCTCAATGTTGTCCATAGCTTGTCATGATCCACACAATCGAAGGCCTTTGCATAGTATGGCTTACTATATACTTGGAGGATAGATTTTACAATTCAATTTTTTTTTTTTAATGTTTTATTGTGAAATATGTGATAGTTTACATGGGAGAACATTAGTTTTACATTCATCCTAACGTATATCGTTTCACTGCCATAGTTACAATCCCCTCCATGCATCATCAACTAATCAAAGGGTATACACTATAAGCCTGCCCTCCGGTCGTCAGCACACAGCCCCTTCTCTAGGTCTAAAGTTCCCAACTGCTTCATCTCTCCACGTCATCGTCTCTGCCTCCATCTCAGGCATCACTGCTTCTCTGGGTAGGGTCCCGCTCTCTGCTCTTCTCCCTTGATGCTCCCAGGGACCTCCATTTCTGGACTACAAAGTCAACCACTCCCTTCCTTGCTACAAAATGTCTACCTTTACATTTCCAACCCTCACAAGCAGTCCTGATAACAATTATTCACCACTGTATCACAAGAGACCCATCCGCATTTCCTTTCATCAGTCCCACCTAGACAGACTGGATACTACTCAGTGGAGATTCTACCTTCCTTCACACCCTCTGAATCTAGCTTCCCTCTTGAAAGCTTTTAAGCCAGTCACTTCTTGCCTTTGTAGTCCCCCATTTTGGGTAGCCAATATCCAAATTGTCCATCCCTGTCTAATCTGTGTATGGAGGGGGTGGGAATGATCCTTGCTGTAAAGATCTGTTCCCTCTTTTGAGCTACTGCATCCATAGGTGTAGGTCAAGTTCATCAAATTGTATAAGATTACTCTTTTTTCTTTCTTCTGGTTGAGCTCTGATCATCCAGGCATTGAAGCCAGGTCAAGTGGGTATTATCTGCAAGTGTGGGTGTTCTTATGCATATGCCTTCTCTTTTCATCAGCTGGATGATTTACTATCCACTCTAGTCCTGTGTGGCTATGTCACTGACTCTGGGCCTAAGAGTCCCCAGGTTTTGCCACACTGCTGGCCAACCAGGTCTCTACCCGGGTTCACAGGAGTCTATTGAACATTGTAGGGCTTAGCTTACAGCTTCATTGCTGTTTTCCCCTCACTTCCCCTTATTGGTGATGAGCATGGTCACCAATCAGAGCATGTATTCCCATTGAGTCTTAGTCTTGGAAGGGGGTTACAATTCAATTTGAAAATGGAGTTTTAGACTGAACCAACACATCCTATTTGGGGAGGAAGCAACGTGACTGAACTTAAATGGATGCAGGCAGATCAGAAAATGCATACAAAACCCACACACCAGTAGAAATTAATGACAATGATTTTTTAAATAGACCGTATCTGAAAAACCAACATGCAGATCAGGCAATGTTTTTGGACAATACTTGGTGTGCTCATTACATTGCTCTGCTTGTTATCTTCTTTCATAGGTTAGGCGGAATTTATGTCAGTTTATAAAGCACGTGAGTGAGCTCATCCATCCTGTTATGCAGGAGTTTGAGGTTCAATCTACCAGTTCTACTGGAGAACAGCAAAATCCCAACATCAAAATAGTCACTCCAGAAATCAGGGTCAGTTGTGTCATTATCAAACCTTAGAGTCATACCTGAAAGTGTGCCAAGCTAGACAACCATGCTTCTACTTCTTTGCTCACTGAGACTATGAAAGACACTACTTACTCAGTTTGACCCACACTAGTACATGCCAGTCAGCACCCAGTTACCAAGACACAGAGGTAATGAAAGAATGGGAAATTTTGCAATCTTGTAGTCTGGTCTTCATTAAAGTATTTGCATCTAACAGTGCTGTGTGTAGGGATAACGCTAAAACAATTTAGAAGAACTTCCTTTGTAATTTAATGGTATGATCAGATATATAGAAATAGGTCGATACATCTTGAGATCTAATTCAGAACTGAGATGTCTGTTTTACGAGGTAGAGGGTTGTTGCTAGTACTAAGGATAAGAAGAATGACACCTCTGTCTAACCAAGGAGGATTGGAATCTCTCTAACTTCTGATCAAATAAGGAAAGTCACACTCGGTATCCTTCCCTTGGTACAATGCACAATGAGTCCAACAGCTATCGCTGTGCACTTCTAAACAAACTTAAGAGGTTTCTAGACAAGAAAGAGGGAAAAAGACAAAACCCAACAGTGAACCTGCCATGATTTAGCAACACAATGGTGATACTGAGACACACGAGCCAAGGCTGAGTGTTGCCTCCAGTGGCAGTGGTGCTGAAGACCAGTGTGTGCTACACCCACTCTTAGTGACAGGCAGTCAGTCATGCCATAACCCCACTTCAGGCACACAAGCAGTTTAAAGGTTTGGAGTCACAACTTTTTACATAATAACTTCAGTAAATTAACAGAATTCATAGCTTTTTAGTTAGCTAACAGAATGTATTTGTCCTGAAAAATCCATCTTAGATACTTCATACATGATTTATGTGGCAATTACCTAATCAAAAAAGCAGGCAATCCTAGGTATCTGGGAGAAGGTATGGAGTAAAAAACTTACATGAACTTCAGCAGCTAGTAAAAATATCTAAAGAATACTTTCAAGTCTTTTTAAGCAGTGATACAAGATGAAGTTAGGCTAAATCTTTCCATCTTTATACTGTCACCATAATTTCATACACATTAACCACACTTGGCTTGTACTTGTCACAAAGAGCATAGCAACAATTTAAAGAGCACAAGACCAAGAGAGTACTAAATACTTAGACTGCCTTTTTGGATCCATTTCGGGGGGTGGGGGGGAGTGTGGAATAGGAGAAGGGAATGGCCACAAGGTGGGTTCATGCTCATATACTTACACTGGCTTTGGGTTGTGAAGGCAAAGTCCCACTTGCCTTCATGGTGCTCACTAGCTTGTTGAACGCAGTCATATCTCCATCCTTTTTGAGTTGCCGATGGCTCGTTACAGCATTTAGGGTCTCCTCTAGATGCTCTGCCATGAAAGGAGTTGAATTCTTTACTTGCTGGTCCACCTTCAAGCCCTTGAGCCCTGCTTCTACCTCTTCCACTGAAAGCACAACCCCTGAATGTGCTGAAAAGTTGAAAAAGTCCAGGTTAGGCCAGGCAAAAGGGTATTTGGTAGGTAATGTCTCTGGCTACCATTATGGTCATGGTCTAGGTGAAAATAATTTATTTCACAGCTCAAGTTAGGCTGTTAGAATAGGCTGATAGCAGAAACAAAGTGAAAATCATTAAAGTCATAGGTGCTCAGCACGAATAAGGTTACCAATGTGTATGTACTCATGAAGTGCCTTATAAACTAAATCTAAAATGGTGTGATTTGATTTTAAAGAGGGGGCTTCAAACAGTTAGTGGAAAAATTCCATAATCTTCTCATCCCGTTTTCCCACAAACTTTTTCTAACTCCCTCACACTTGCATCCATAATCAATACTCATGGAAGCAGCAGTCAAGAAATCAAATGTACTACATTGGGCAAATCAGCTGCCCAAGACCTCTATAAAGTGGTCACTTTGAAGACTAAGGTGCCCCTGATCCAAGGCCTGGATAATGAATAAGGAAGACTTAGAAGAACTGACACATTTGAATTAAGGTATGGGTGGAAACTACTTAATGCACCATGGACTGCAGTCAAAATGCTACTCCTTTGAAGTAAGGATGGCAAGTCTGTCTCACTTACTCTGGTCATGTTCTCAGGAGGGACCAGTCCTTGAAGAATGACACAATGCTTACTAAAGTAGAGGGGCAGGAAAAAAACCCTGATTCTCAGTGAGGATGACTGGCACTGTGACTACAAGGACTCAAAGAGCAATGATTGTGAGTGCTGTGTGTGACTGGGAACACTCTTCTTTGTACATGAGATCAGTAGAAGTCAGAACTGACTTGCCAACGCCTAACAACAGATGCTAGAAACTCAGGAACCATGGCTACTAGGTGCTTTGCTTTAAAATGTTATGTGTCCTCATCTCATAAGTCTTCTGGAGGTGTTACTCAGATCCCAAATAGTCCAATGTTAGGCTACCATATTCTGATGGCAGTAGACCTTGGCTAACTAAAACTTCAGAAAGAGAAACCATGGCAGGAGGAGGTGGCGAGGAATGGACTACCGTGTCGTAAACAGGCTGTAGGTAAGAAACGGAACTTTGAAGAAAGGTTCCTGTCACTGGGCCCATGACCCACTCCCACTGACTATCAGATTTTTTAAGAGGTGGTAGTGTTTCATAAAATGAGCTGCTTCTAAGAATACTACACAACACCCACCATCAACATGACTTCTTATGAAATCACAGTACGCTAGACCAACTGCCTTTGTCCTACTGTTGGCTTGCGTGTTGCTGTGATGCTGGAGGTTATGCTACTGGTTACCCAAGGTGGACAGGTTTTAGCTGAGCTTCCAGACTAAAATTGACTGTGAAGAAGTAGACGCAGACTACTTCTGAATGTTTGAAAACCTTATGAATAGCAGTGGAACACGATCAGCACCAGAATACTGAATTAAAAAAAAAAAAAAGATGAATAGCACCAGAATACTCTTAGATACAGTGCTGGAAAATAAACCCTTCAGGCTGGAAGGCAGCTGGGGAAGAGCTGCCTGCTCAAAGTAGAGCTGACCTTGATGGAAGTAATGGAGTAAAGCTTTTGATACCTTCATTGGCTGATAGTGCACAACTCAAAATGAAGAGAAACAGCTGTAAATATCCATTAATAATCAGAACACAGAATGTACAAAGTACAAATCTAGGAAAATTGGAAGTTCTCAAAGATGAAATAGAATGCATAAAGATCAATATTCTAGGTGAAAATAGATTAGTACTGGCCAACAATGACAAATTGAAGAGGAACAGCAACACATTCATCATCAAAAAGAACATTTCCTATGTGGATAGGTCTCTCGTGATGCAATAGTGAGTAATTGTTATCAGGACTGATTGTGAGAGTTGAAAATGCAAAGGTAGATGTTTTGTAGCAAGGAGGGGAGTGAATAATTTTGCAGTCTAGGAGCAGAGGTCCCTGGGACCATCAAGGGAGAAGAGTGGAGAGCGGGAGCCTACCCAATGAAGCAGTGGAGACAGAGATGGATGACATGGAGAGATGGAGAAGCTAGGGACTTTAGACCCAGAGAGGGAGGAGGTATACCCTTTGGTTGGTTGATGATGCATGGAAGGGATTGTCACCATGGCATTGAAACAATATGTGTTAGGATGAATGTAAAACTAATGTTCTCCCATGTAAACTATTACATAATTCACAATAAAACATTGAAATAAAAACATTTCCAGATCTACCTTGAAGATAATGTTCTCTGTCATAGGATAATATTTATATGCCTATAAGGAAGATGACTTAATACTACTGTGGTAAGACCCTGCAGGACAATGTGCTGAAGTGCAAATGTTTGGTAGTTCAAACATACCAGTTGCTCCTCAGAAACCCTATAGAAGGTCGCTATGGATCAGAACCAACTTGACAGCCCTAACAATGACAACAACTACAACCACTAAAATCAGTGATGATGAAACTGAAGAACTCTTCCAACTTTTTCAGTGTGAAACTGCTCAAACATACAGTAAAAATGTATTGATAATTACTGGTGATTGGAATGCAAAGGCTGGAAACAAAGTGAAAGAATCAATAGTTGGAAAATATGGTGTTGATGGTACAAATGATGCTGGAGAACGCATCACAGAATTTTGCAAGGTCAATGACTTCTTCATTGCAAATACCTTTTAAAAACAACATAAAAGACGACCATACGCATAGACTACACCAGGTGGTATACACAGAATTTAAAATGACTACATCTATGGAAGAGATAGCAAAAAAGTTTCATATCATCAGCTAAAACAAAGCCAGGAGCAGATTGTAGATGAGACCATCAATTACTCAAGCTAACACTCAAGTTCAGGCTGATGCTAACAAATATTAAAACAAGTTAATACAAGCCAAAGTATGAAAATATCCAACCTGAATTTAGAGATCTAAAGAAGAAATTGATGCATTAGACACTAGGGACTGAAGACAAGAAAACTTGTGGAATGACATCAAAAACTTCATCCAGAAAAAAAGCAACAGATCATTAAGAAGATAATAAAGAAGGAAAAGACCAAAATGGATGTCAGAAGAGACTCAGAAACTTGCTCTCCAGCATAACCATGCTAAAGCAAATGGAACAAATGAAGTAAAAGAGATGAACAGAAAATTTCAAAGGGCAGCTTAAGAAGACAAAGTCAGGTAATATAATGAAAAGTACAAAGAACTGGAGCTAGAAAATCAACCAGGAACAATGTGCCCAGCATTTCTCAAGCTGAAAGAACAGTAGAAAAAAATTAAGCCTCAACTTGCAGTATTCAAGGAGCCTATAGATAAAATATTGAATGATGAAGAAAGCATCAAAAGAAAATGGAAGGAACACACAGAGTCACTGTGTACCAAAAAAAAAAAAAAAAGGGCAATGTTCAATTATTTCAAGACTCTAGTATGTGATCAAGAGCCAATGGTACTGAAGGACGATGTCCAAGGTGCACTGAAAACACTGGCAAAGAACACAACTCTGGGGGGAGGGAACTGATGGAATAAGAATTGAAATCTTTCGACAAACTGATGCACCACAGGAGGTACTCACTCATGTCTGCCAAGAAATCTGGAGCACAGCTACCTAGTCAACTGACTGGAAGTGATCCATATCTGTGCCCATTCCAAAGAGAGATGATACAACAGAATGTGAAAATCACTGGACAGTATCATTAATATCACATGCAAATAAAATTCTGCTAAAGATAATTCAAAAATGGCTGCAACCATACATTGATAGGGAACTGCAGAGGTTCAATCTGGATTCAGATGAGGATATGCAACAAGGGTATCATTACTGACGTCGGGGAGATCTTGGTTGAAAGCAGAGAGTATCAGAAAGATGCTTACCTGTGCTTTACTGACTATGGAAAGGCTTTTGACTGTGTGGGTCATAACAAGCAGTGGAGAACTAATATTCTGGAACAGTTAATTGTGCTCAGAGGAACCTGTACATAGACCAAGAGGCAGTTGTTCAAACAGAACAAGGGAACATTGTTGTTATTAAGTACCGTCGAGTTGGTTCCGACCCACAGCAACCCTGTACAGGGTTTCCGAGGCTGTAAATCTTTACAGGAGCAGAAAGCCGCCTCTTTCTCCTGCGGAGCAGCTGGTAGTTTCGAACTGACCTTGTTCGCAGCCTGATTCGTAAACACTACGCTAAAGGGAACATTAAGTGGTGTAAAATCAGTAAGGTGTGTGCCAAGGTTGTATTCTTTCACCATACTTAGTCAGTCTGTGTGCTGAGAGGGCGGAGCTTGCTGGCTGATAGGGTATATAAGTGCAGTGAGGATCTCCATCAGCATTAACACAGAATACCAGATGAAGCCGTTTCAGGGAACAGTTCCAAAACTGAACCACATATATGTTGTTGTTGTCATTGCTAAGTGCTATCGAGTCGATTCCAACCCATAGTGACCCTGTATAGGGTTTCCGAGGAGCAGCTGGTGAGCCTGAACCGCCGACCTTGCATTTCAAATGGCTTTGCAGTCTGGCACATTAACCCACAGCGCCACATATATAGGAGTATTTTAAAAGTTAAAAGGATTATAGCCTGTGGATTTTGTAGCGGAAGCATGAAATCTTGTACTTTTGAACCTGCTAGGCTCAGTGGCAGGCAGCCACCATTTTGGGTGAGACCAAGCAGCAGGATCAAGAAAGGGAAGGATCAGAGCTGCCACGGATTGCTGCCTGCCGGACCCTCCGAGATAAAGGTGTGGACTTTCCTTTTTATTTTTTTGTATCTGTTCATTGGCCTCTTGCTGTCTGCACATCTCCATTCTAAAGACTAGAGGGGATGCCTGAGCCAAGTGGACACCCCACCACTTCTGGAGGATTCTACTACATATGCGCACAGATCCTCTCAAGATTTAAAGAGACATATTCCACTTAAAACCAAATGGCAGTGCAAAATGGCCACAGCTGGCCCTGAATGGTTTGTCATTAGGAAAAAGGCCAAAACCGTGGATGTGGAGCAGGAAAGACAGTCTAAAAAGGAAAAAGGCCAAAAATTAAATCCTGAGTTACATTATAACAACCAACAGTGGCATCTTGAAATTTTCCAGGCGGCCTTAAAGACAAGAAGCTGAAAAAGGATATTAAAGTCAAACTCATTAGCCTACAGATTTTTTTTCCCCCTCTTCTCTCTTTTTGGTGATTATAGACTACAGTATCCAATCTGTTTGTTTTTGCTATTGCTGTTTTGGTTTTTGGTCCCCTCTTTACCTTTAGGGGGCTCTTTCTCTTCCTATATTACCCAAGAAAAGACAGCAATTGCTGTCATATAGTCAAGCTACAATGTTGTTGTTAAGCGCCATCAAGTCGGTTCCAACCCATAGAAACCCTATACAGGGTTTCCAAAGCTATAAATCTTTACGGGAGCAGAAAGCCTCATCTTTCTCCCACAGAGTAGCTGGTAGTTTCGAACTGCTGACCTTATGGTTCGCAGCCTGATTTGTAACCACTCTGCTACAAGAGCTCCTTATAACATCCTATAAAACTCCACAATCCAGGCAAGAACCAATACCAACTGCCATACACCAGGTAGGCAGACAACACCAGCGACAGTTACTCTGAGTTGAGTAATAAGAAGAGTGAAAAGGGAAGCCCTGATCACATCTACCTGGAGGAAATCAGAAAGCATAAAAAAATACCAAAACACACACTCAAAGTATTAGGGCCACAGTTAACTACTGAACATGCCCAAGAAGAGAAGTAGATGACTGACTATATCAGCACATGTCCAAAAACAAGATAAAGTGACTGAGACAAATGAACTGGAGGTAGACCTACACTCCATATTGTAAGGAGGGTAGGCCTTGGAAATGCCTGAAAAGGAATTCAGAAAAATTATTATAAAATTCATCAAAACACTTCACAATGAAGTTGAGAAAAATAAAGAAATCAATCTGTATGCTGAGCAAATAATTTGAGAAGCTGGATTATATGAAGAACGATGTGGTTTCAGAATTGGGAGGAAGACTCTTAACTTGTGATAGGCAGATGATACAACCTTGCTTTCTGAAAGCAAAGGAACTTAAAATACTACTGATGAAGATCAAAGACCATAGACTTCAGTATGGGTTGCACCTCAATGTAAAGAAAACAAAAACCCTCACCACTGTTACCAATAAACTACATCCATATCAATAAGAGAAAAAATTAAAGTTGTCAAAGGCTTTATTTTGGTTGGATGTACTATCAACATTCATGGAAGCAGTAACCAAGAAATCAAACGCCATATTGCATTTGGCAAATCTGCTGCACAAGATCTCTTTAAAGTGTTCAAGATCAAAGACATCAGTTTGTGGACTAAGGTTCACCTGACTCAAGACATGGTATTTTCAATATGCATGTGAGATTTGGACAGTGAATAAGGAAAACTGCAGAAGAACTGATGCATTTGATTTACGGTGTTGGAGGAGAATATTGAAAGTATCATGGACTGCCAAAAAACAAATGTGTGCTGGTAGAAGTGCAGCCAGAAAGCTCCGTAGAAGCTAGAATGGCAAGACTTACTTCATCTCTCATACTTTGGACATATTATCAGGAGGGACCAATCCCTGGAGAAGAATATCATGCTAGGTAAAATAGGTAAAGTTCAGGGTCAGCAAAACAGTTTAAGACCATCCCCCCTGCACCCCCAACAAGATGGACTGGCACAGTGGCAGCAGCAATGGGATCAAAAATTAACGACGATTGTGAGGACTGCGCAGGGCCAGGCCATGTTGCACTCTGTTGTGCACCTGACAACTAGAAAGACTAACTATCTTAAGGCTGAGCATTCAGGCTTTTACAGATACCTACAGTAGATGCTCATAAATACTTACAGCTTTCTTTAAGTTTTTCCTTATTTGCAGAAAGGCTGGAGAGAAGAGGTTTTAAGTCCACTTTGGCTTTCTGTAGCATTTCTAAAATATCCACTTTATTTTCAGTGTGATCTTCTAATGGTATAGGAGCAAAGTAATTCCCCGAATTCTGTCCAGGAGAGAGGATGGCCTGCTCCAAACCTGGCATTGCAAATAAACATTCACAATTAGTTGGTTCCAATGAAGCACAAAAATTGCTCTTCGTTAGAATTGAGAGGACACAGAGCCTTTCTTTCAGTGTCCAGACATCCTTCGACTCTATCAGACCCCTGGTGAATGAAGACAGAACGAACTGCCTCACATAAAGTTCAAGTTTACAACCAAGGTTGGAATCTGATGTCATTTTACCTGCAAGTCTCTCCAGTTCTTCATGTGGTGTTGACCCAAGACTGCTGGACCGGCTTCCTGATCGGCTGGGGTTAGAGAACCACCTACTGAACCGACTGGCAGAGACTGACCCTTCCCCCAACACATCTTCTATCATCTGAAGGAAAAGATAAAAGGAACAAAGATCATAGTCTGGAAGTGAAAAAGACAAGAAGGCTCCAATCTTAGGAAAGGGTCACTTACTTTGAAACGTCTGTTGATGCAGATTAACACCTTCAGAATTTAGGATTTTTAATACTTGGTCATTTCTGAGTAACCCAAACTTGGGATAACCAACCATGTATTTCTAACCATAAATAAATAAAGGCAAGTCTGTACATCAAAAGAAGTGTTTTGGTTTTTCTTTCCTTATCAGAAAACCCATACAGTAACAAATATTCTCAGAGGATGTAGTTTCATAATAAAAAGCAGTGGGAAACTGAAAAAGAAACTCTTGCTTCAAAACTTGAATTCAAGCCTAATTTCTGAAGCCAAAAGCTAAACAAGTAAAGCTTCTAAGTCAAAGTTTTGGAATCATCACAATGTAAAAGATGAACTTTGAACAGATCCTCTAATTTGTTTGAATGCAATGGAGTTTCAGGTGTTGCTTTCTATGTAAATTGACCTCCAGGGTTCTCTGCTTGTTGCTGTTGATAAGTGCCGTTGAGTCAGTTCTGACTTATAGCAACCCTGTCCAGAACTGCCAGCTTGATGGATCGCAGTCCAGTGGTGATCCTACAGCACCATACCAGAAGTATCAGTTTATTTAATAAGAGCAAGTAAATGATGCAATATGAGCAGAACTAAGTTATTCAACACTATTGTCTCATAATAGGACTTCTATTACCAAGTTTCCAAAGCTAGATTTAAACTTTTAGAAAACATCAATTTTCAATGCTACCTTATCATAGAAGTACTGGTATGGCACAGTGGGTTAATGAACCTGACTGCAAGGCCATCTAAACTGCAAGGTTGGCGGTTCAAGCTCGCCAGCTGCTCCCTGGAAACCCTATACAGGGACCCTTTGGGTTGGAACCAACTCAGTGGCACTAACAACATTATCATAAACCAGTTAAATATTCAAACTTATCTTTATGCAGTACCCTTACCAACATTTAGAAGACATAAGTAGATCATTTCAAAAAATAAGGCGTAGACTTTCATCATTTCTGTATCAACTGATAAATCTTTCCCTCCCCAAAATCCCCTTTTCCCCAAAAAAAGCTGGCACATGGATGAGAGTTAGTGACTCTGTTAATCTACAACTTAAAATGAACAAAAGACTTCTCTTGAGCAGACAAACATCGTTGATGTTGTTAAGTTCCATGAAGTCGAATCCGACCCACAGCAACCCTGTATAGGGTTTCCAAGGAGCTACTGTACTGGTGAGCCTGAACCACCAACTGGGTGGTTCAAACAGACCTTGCAGTCCAGCACATTAACCCAAAGAGCCACACCAGGACTCGTGAACAGAATAGGGATTTTAAATTCAAGACTACGTTTCAATTTGTGCTGCTATTTCTCTCTTCAGAGCAATTAGCAAAGTCACACTTGACTTGTACACTTTCCCCCTTGAATCAATGATCCTCACTTTCAAGTGTATTCAGTTTGGAATAACTGGAGTATAAGCAGCACAAGTGAGGTTTCAGTGGGAAAATTCACAACTGTTCTGAAAACAGCAGCACCTTGGTGATAAACAGGAATTGTAAGATGAATAAGCAAAAGCTATGTTGTTGTTGTAAAGTGCCGTCAAGTTACTTCCAACTCATTGCGACCCCTTGTGGGATTTCTGAGGAGTGGCCATCTGAACTGCAAGGTTGAATCTCCATCCTTGTGGTTCAAACAAACCTTCTGGTCCAGTGCTTATCCTACAGCCGCCACACCAGCTATAGTTAATACATTATGTTTCAATATTAAGTGTTAGAAGTTTTATAAATAACAAAATGATGGCTTTGTATTTTAACTCCTTTTGTTCCCTCTGGACATGTTGTATAGTGAAAAAAATCAGAAGACACACATAAGGAGCTTGAGAAAGCATGGGTATGAAATCAAAGGACAGTAAATATGGTGAAACTCTTCTCCATATCTGGACGAATGATCAACGTACTTAGTTTTATTATAGCTAAACTCTAGTTAAAAGGAACAGAAACAGAATTAAAGCATATTTGGAGGAATGCCTATTTCAAGCAACGACAGCATTTTAAAAGGGAAACTCGTCCCAAGGGTTCGTGTATGTCAGTGCTCCTTTTTACAATGGAGCAAGCTTGGCTGCCCTAACAGCAGTGCCTCCCCACAACCTGGTACAAGAGGGTGAGACTTTTGGTCACAGCATCCTTGGCTATACCCTTGTCAGTCTTCACCTGGTTGAAAAGAGGAGGCTGTGAACTATTAGTGTTTCCATTGCTCTTACTAGATGTTTAATAGCATTTTTGAAGGTAACTTATGACTATTAGTCTGGTCCTTTAAACAAAGGTATTCGGTATTTTACATCAGCCATGTCCTCAGGTTCATATCATTTTGATAAATTGATACTAAAATAGTTTTGCTCTTTATTGCAATTACTTAGTTTTACTGGTCAATGCTTGTTTTCTTTTTACTTTTATGGAAAACCTGTATTTTTACTATTTGCTTCATTTTGGTTTATTGTCTTTTTATTTATATTTATAAAATAATGAATACATTTTCTTCTGAGCATACTTTGGATTACATCACCAAGGCCTTTCTATGTCATATTCCTATTCATTTCTCTAAGCAATTTAGGATTTCCATTGTTTCCTTTTTCATCATTCAACATATTGTTAGGTATTAAGAGTTGCATCGTATGTAAAATTTATTTTTAATTAACCAACATTATTTACACCCATGATTGAAGTTTGTATGTGAACATAGCATATATATATATATATGAATAAGTAAAAAAGTATTGCTACAGAATCATAGAAACAATTAAACAAAAATATCAAAATCTTAGCATATCCTTCTTGTAGGTCTACACTCTTCTGAAAGATTTCCATCTCTCTAACCAAAGACCTCTGTGCTCAATTCACACCATGTCAAAACAGCAATTTTGGCATCCTTGAGGGACTCAAATCATGTTTCTTTTAACTGTTGAATTTAGATAAAAAGAAGGGTGAAGGGGCACGATCAGGGCTGTAGGGTAAATGGGGTAAGGTTTCCCAAAGAAATTCTCGTAGGACAGCCCTTGCTACCCTCAAGGACTGAGTGGGTATACTGTCATAGAAAGCAAATTCCTCAGCACAATCAATTAATTCTCTTGGCCTTTTTTCTCACCAATGAATGCATTTAATTTTCAGAAAACTTTTTATTATGAGCCCCCATGATCATCCTTTGTAATCTCAAAAGGAGCCACCATTAACCTTATAAGCTGACCTCTTTACCTTAAACTGACCAGCAGACCCCGCAGAAATTCACTGTTGTGATTGGACGTTGTTCTCTGTAACATACTGGTTATTACAAGACTCATTCCATTAACTTTTAAAGACCAATAGAAAAGATCGGTCTTTTTGAGCTAGCTAACCTTCATGCAGCACTTTGGACACCCATCAAGCCAAAAGTTTGCTGAACTCAAGATGTTCACTTAAAACTGAAAATATCAAACCATTTTAGATCCCAATTTCAGTAGCTATCGTATTACTGGTAATTCTACGGCCTTCTTCCAATAATTCCTGGACTTCCGCCACTGTTTCTTCATTCATTGAGGCTGATGGTCTTCCCTCTCTTAGCTCATCTTCGAGTTCTTCACATCTTCTTAAAATGCTTGTTCCATCTAAAAACTGTTGGTTTCTGTAGGGCAGCATTGCTTGTAAGCTTGTTGCAAGTTTCAATGATTTGTCAAAATGTGCACTTGAGTTCTGCTAAAAACTTGATATTGGCCCTGATCACAAAATTGTTTTTCTATGGCACATAAAGTATCCAATTTTCTTAAAGGAACCTTAACAAGCATATTACTGAGAGAACGTGTCTGCAGCCATCCAGTGACCAAAGAGACACATTTATACACATGTTGGAATAAACTCATGCAAGTAGGAGCTGGAACCCTAGCAGCAGTACTTTTTGACTGACCCTCTAGTTTACTTACTCATTCACTGTCTCCTCTTACTATAAAAGTGAGCTCCAGGATAGAACTTGGCTTTTTTTTATAACTGTAACCTCAGTTCCTAAAACACTTTCAGAAGATAGAATTGCTTGATAATTATTATCTAACTTGAAATAAATGAAGCCAGTATGAGTATCTGAGATTTCTTTTGCGGCCTATTAGGTGGCCAAGTTTTTATAAACAAGACAAAGTGTATTCTGTTTTGATGAAAAATTCTATTTTTATCTACTGATACCTAACGTTTATAAAGCTTACTAAGCAAGTACTTTACATATCGTTGTTGTTGTGTGCCATGGAGTTGATTGGTTCTAACTCGTAATGACCCTGTACAGGGTTTCCAAGGCTGTAAATCTTTACAGGAGCAGAAAGCCTCATCTTTCTCCTGAGGGAACAGCTGGTAGTTTCAAACTGCTGACCTTGCGGTTCACAGCCAGAATCGTAACCAGAATACACTACCAGAGCTCCTTACTTTACTATATGTAAAGTACTTGATTAGTAAGCAAATCCTATAGAGACTTCTGAGAAGATCTGTGACTCTTCAGGATAAGCACTGGACTGCTAACCATAAGGTCGGTAGTTGGAGTCCACCAGCCACTCTGAGGAATAAAGATGAGATTTTTTGTTCCTGTAAAGATTTATAGGGTTGGAATCGACTCAACGACACTTAACAATAATCTTCTTAATCATTTTTCCTACTTGTTTGGTTGTTTCCTGAACCTTGTGGCTATATACCACAATCCAACATTTAAAAAACTCATCCCAGTTTTGCTTTTTAGTGGACCTATTATGGAAGATTTATGCGGCAATGAGCACTATCTCCATGGAAACTTGGAGCCTATTACATCCTACTCAGCATTAGCTAAGTTGTAGGAGGAAGAGGGGACCAAAGTAGAGTCCCTGCTCCTTCTTGTACATTTCAGAGGCATCACAGGTGTGGAAGTTTGAAGCACAGCCTCTTAACTGAAACTACAAAAAAAAAATTCCTTCCCCACCACTCACTTGCTGTGTGATTTTGTACAAGTTACTTCAACTTCTGTGCTTCTGTTTTCTCATATGTAACCTGCCTCATAAGGGTTCTATGAGGATCAAAGGACTTCTTAGATTCACTAGAAAAATCCATGCATTACCAAATGTTGGAGGAGGAAAGTGCCTAGATCTGCTGGCGGCAGTGACACTGTACACAGGCCCCACTGTGAACAGGTCAGGGTCAGTACGTAGTTTGGGTTGGAGAGTGGGTTCTTCCTCTGCTCAGTCACAGCTGATTTGCATAGGCGCTCACTTAAGAGCCTAGGACAGCCCTCTAAATTTTGACCTTCTGCTGTGACCATCAAGTGTTCTAACACAATGCCCCAAACAAAACACAAAAACGGCATTGCATACCTTAAAAAACAAACAAAAACTCCAAACCTGCTTGCCGTGGTGCTGATTTTGACTATATGATGGAGCAGAACTGCCCCAACTGGGTTCTAAGGCTAGACCTTCATGAGTTAAATGGCAACATTGATAGAACCAAGTCCTTTTTCACTAAAGGTTTTTGGAACCATCATTTCACAAAAGACACCACTTAACCTGGCAGCCTTCCCCAGGTAATGTAGGTCAGCTTAACACTGATAGTCAGTTATAAAATGTCACCTCCACAGTACGTCTTTACCACAAATACTTTAGCTACTTCAAAACAAAAGCAAGCAGACAGTGTTCTTAAACATCTAAAGAATTTTTAGTTCAATGCCACCAGCCTGGCAAAAGTTAACTGGTATAAATTCTCAGTCATTTCCACTAAGTCTCTCAAAACAAAACCAACAAAAATTTTAAATAATTATTTTAGAATTAAAAGCCAGAGAAAACACCCAAACCCACAGCATCTACCAAAACAGCACTTAAAGACTTAGGTCAAATATAACCATAAAGCTGCTCCATCCATGTTTGTTGGCTGCTTCACTCACCGAAGCCAAGCATGGCACCTTATCAAGGTTAAAGAACTCATTAAAGTCAAATTCTCCTGGGGACTGCTCGGGCAAGATGGCATCCCTTGGCACTTCCTGATCAGCCGCAGGCTCCTGTGCAAGAATGACCTCCACCTCCTCCTCTTCGGCCACTCCTCCATTGCACACGACTATGCCTGAAAGCAAAACCAGGACAAAGACATTCTGATCAAGTCATGTGCTCAGCCAGCAACATGCATGCAGAAGAGGCACAGATGTCTTAAAAGCAGACTTCTTGTGCAGTTGTAGCACTTGTATCAACAGTAACATAGTCCTTTGGGAGCTAGAGAAGGAAAAAGCCTCCATTGTAAGTCAGACCACCACAGGAGGAGGGAAGACTATGATTCCCACCCCTTCACCCCTAGTACTTTGTGTTTGCCATAGTGGAGTCGGTTCTTTATCTGAAGCAACAAGTTTTTTTAGAACAGTAGTTTTTCTAAGTCCCTTCCTTATAAACCCAAAACCAAACGACTTCGTTCATGCCTCTGCACTACCACAGCTTTAAAGGCAGGGTTCAGAGAGCAAAGGCAGGATGTGGAGCATAACCTGACAGGAACTTTTCACTTGCCTACAGTGTTTTGTTCTATTGTGCCTAGGATTGCTATGAGTCCAACAACATAGGTTGGTTGTAGATCATCCTTCAAGGCAAAGCTCAAATGTTACCTCCTCAGGGAAACCTGCACTGCCTGCCCATTTTTACTGTAGCCAGCAAGATGAATCACTTGCCTTCTCTATGATCCTGTGCTCTCTCAAAGCGCTTACTACACTGTATATAGTAATTCTCTGGTGACACTGAGCTCCATGCGGCCTGGGAGTCTGATCTAATTTGCCCTGTCTTACTCTGTAGTGTGAAGTAAACACAAAACCAAGGAATGACCAGTTGTTTTTAGGATGGAAAACATGCTACTGACTTACATAAAGCAACCAAGTGCCCACATTTAAGGAATCTAGCAATGGAGTACAGACTAAAAGGTCCTATGACTTGAATACATCCCACCTGAACTGAGACCATTTCAAGAACAGGTCTTGAATAAACACTAACAACTGAAGACCAGAACTAACAAATCTGTCTTGTAGAAGTGCAGACAGAATGCTCCATTAGATGGGATGATGGAGAGACTTCATTTTACTTAGTTGGGACACGACATCAGGAAAGACCAATCGCTAGAAAAAGCATCATGTTTGGTAAAGTAGAGAGTCAGGAAAAATGGGAGGAAACCCTCCATGAAGTGGACTGGAGTGGTGGCTACAACAATGGACTCAGCGGCAACGAAGTGTGAGGAGACTGCAAGCCTGAGCAATGTTTGTACATATGGCAACCAAGAGTTGGAGCCAACTCTATGCAACCAACACCGACAACTTAGGCAAACACAAAACCTCAGAGCCAAAGAAAAAGTTAATTTGAATTTTTTTAAGTAACTGTACTCTGGTAGCGTAGTGGTTACAAATTGGGCTGCGAACCGCAAGGTCAACAGTTCAAATCTACCAGCTGTTCCGCAGGAGAAAGATGAGGTTTTCTGCTCCCGTAAAGATTGACAGCCTTGGAAACCCTGTACAGGGTCGTTATGAGTCGGAATCGACTCCACGGCACATAACAACAACAACATTGCTTTTCATAGAAAAACAAATCTCCAAAGCCCTACCCTGCCTGCAACAGCACTTACAAAAGAGGAGCCTGTAGCTTTAAAATGAATTCCCCCTAGCAAAAAGTCCCCAACAGTTACGTCAGTCTCGTTATTCACCAGCCAGGATATTCTATCTAGACCAAGTGAGGCAAAACACTTAATTTTTGCTTTCATTCCAATAACACTCAAAAAAAGCTAGGCAACAAAGCAGGGGAAAACACCTCACAGGTTATTAAGCAGCTTGCTTATCAGACGTCTCAATCCTAGTAAGTGGCAGGAATAAAGCTTCAACCCTGGGTTGCAGCAAAGCTCTTCTACCTAGCACTGAGCACAGAAGGAACACTATTCTTCCATGTGCCTGTCATCCAAGGGCCCTGACCCTTCTGAGGTTCCTGTGGCAACCAGTGAAACACCTGTGAGCCATGGACAAGAAAAAGGGCAGCACACACCACTGACAACTTCCAAAGGTAACTGCTAGTCCATAAAGATCAGCACTGATGCTACAATGATTGCTGCAGTGGCAGACACACCATTTTAGAGAGAAACTGAGTCTGAGAAAAAAAACACAAATTAGCAGCACAACCCACGCTAAGTTGGTGTTCGTTTCCACTAGAGCAGTGCTCTCCCTGACCCATATTACCCCTGTAGAACCCATATGCCCACTTAGGACTAACAAGCAAACAAACATTTTGCTGTTGTTTTATGTCCCAATGTAAAGATGACAGCAAAAGGGATAAGCTGTACTCTGCACAATCAAAATAAACCACAGTATTTTTTCCCACTCATTTGTATTTTGTGACTGAGATGAGGACATTACTTAACAGAAGAATAGCTTTTGGATAAAAAGCAGGAAGAAAAGTCCGTGTCCACCCCGCCTCCCTCCTCCCCTGTGAATTTTCAGGCTTTAAAGTCTCTAAAAAGCAGACAGGGCCCAATAACTGATAGTGGGTCAGCATGTGTTGGTGTGCCCTAGCAGACCGACAAATATAACTGGTCATCTACTTGATTTACTCAAAAGCCAGGAACCCATATAAAGATAAAAACAGCAAGTTTTATCATGTTTGACAAATGAGCATATACTTTCATTACTGTGGATGCTAAACTGAATTTTCTTTTTTATCAATGGAGAGTTTTGACCATCCCCCCCTCCCTATATATATAGTATGTGTGTGTATACGTTGTTGTTTTTTTTTTAATTTCTGATTATATAGAGTATTCAAACTGTGTCACTCATCATGATTTTATACACAGCACCTAGTTGTTGTTAAGTGCCTTGGAGTCGGTTCCGACTCATAGCAACCCTGTACAGGGTTTCCGAGACTGTATTATCTTTATGGGAGCAGAACGCCTCATCTTTCTCCTGCGGAACAGCTGGTAGTTTTGAACTGCTGACCTTGCGGTTCACAGCCTGACTCGTAACCACTGTACTACCACAGCACCTAGTATTGGGTCCTATATGCAGTGGGTGCTTCTATACTCCCAGTACTTATGTGCCTGCAGAGGACAGCTATGCAGTAAGTTGTATGAAAAGCTAGAATTGTTGTTGTTATGTGCCATGAAGTCAGTTCTGACTCATAGAGACCCTGTACGGGGTTTCCAAGGCTGTAAATCCTTACGGGAGCAGAAAGCCTCATCTTTCTCCTGAACAGCTGGTAGTTTCGAACTGCTGACCTTGCAGTTTGCAGCCCAACTTGTAACCACTCCGCTACCAGAGCTCCTTGAAAAACTGGAATACACACATAAAAAAGGTCTTAAAGGCACTCTACACTTTGGTTTGTCAGTCAGGTCTTTTCATCCTGACAGTCAAGATGAAAATAGAATACTCGTTTATCTTAAATACAATGGCTATGACAGCTGGAGAACCCTTTAATAGGTGAGTTAGGACAGGATACCTAGTTCCCCTGCAAGGCTATGCCAGGAAAGCTGTCCCTTGTCTCCAGTCCTTGTCGCTCTCTACATCTGTAAGGTGAGGAGGAACCATACTGATTATTCTCTCTCCTCTAGCTCTTCCACTTGTCGATACAGAAATGAGCAAAAGTTATTCTCATCAGAAACCAGAAGAGACCCCATTTGCTGGTGCTTCTTTAGTCTCACCAAGAACAAAACCAGGGTATACTCAAAGCCAACTTGAGCACAAAACCAAGTGACCCATCAATTTCCTGCATGATCACTCTAATGAAGACTGTAAAGGTATTCAGGAAATGAACAAATCAAAGCCATTAACAAGACTTCGCTCTTTTCTCTCTCCTTCCAAAGAAATCCAATTAGCTTATTTGTGGTTAAATTTGACATAGGCTTATCATAATTTTCAGGTGGCACTGAACAAACACTCACATATTAAGATAGTTTTTTCCTTTAGTTAATTAACTAGTCTCTGCCCAAAGGAGGGTGTATCCCAATGAAACCTGAAGGCTGGGAGGAGCTAGAATTTAAGGCAGGGTTCTGAGGTGTCTATTCCATTTTTAATGTGAAAAGCAGCCCTTGAGGCCATGCAGTAGGCGTGGTCTTCAGCCACAAAGAAGGCCCACCTGTAGCCATTTCTTCAGATTATCCTTTACCTAAACAGCAGCCCCACTACTCAGACCCCGCTGGCCCACCTGCCTCTTCACCAAAGCACTGCACTGCCTCGTCCCCAAACCGGCAGGCCACTCAGAGCCAAGTGGGCCAGCTGCACACCAATGGGCCCTTGTTCTGTGCTAAGCACTTTACATGTTAGCTCTGACTCCTTCAGTTTAGCAAAAGAGATCTTTTTCCTTCTCTTTGAGCGGAGAAAGTGAAAGTTAGAAGGAGCCAAGTCACTTCACAACTGACCTGGGAAGGTCTAACACCATGTTGAGCAGGGCTCTGAAGCCCAAACCATCTCCTTCAATTCCCAAGGCTCACATTCCCTTCCTCTGTGATCAGTCAAGGCACTTAAGCACTGTAAGCAGCTCTGCACTCACCTTTAAGATGGTGACAAGGAGACCTGGTGTAGTGCTGTAGGATAAGTAGTTGACTGCTAACCACAGGCCAGTGGTTCAAACCCCTGGAAACCTATACAGGGTCACTATGACACAGAACTAACTCTATGGCATCAAACAAGATGATGATGACAGGGACAGAAGGACCCACACCTCTCTGGGTTTTTAGAAACACACAAGATTACACAGACACTTTTACCATTATGCCTAATACTAATTACTCAATAAATGAGGCCTCATTATTTCCCCACCTATTTCCAATGTCAGGAGCACCCTTTCCTGCTCTCAGAAGGTAATGGGGGACTTTGCTGTTCAGTGCTATAGTTGAGACACTAAACTCTACCCTTAGGAAGCGGTTTCAAAATCTGGCTGCAACAGTAAAAGCATGCTATTTCTTAACATCAGGTGCTCAAGACGCCAATGATGATGACGTTGCGTTACAGTACAGTGACCTTTCCTCCCAAGGTTTGTGCTGACCTTCCTTCAGAGGGGTTGGCCGTCGTCTTGTTCTCTTCTTTCCTTTGTGATCTTCTTCCAGTATCTTATCATCAAAGCCAGTCAGCTCAATGGTTTCAGACTGACTTGTGGGTCCAGCTGAGAACCATTCTGGTTCTTCTTCCGTGAAAGAATCGTTTCTTCTACGCTCGCCAAAGACACGCTTACTATCCCCAAACTCTCTCTGAAAAAAGTACGTAAAGCAACATAAAAAGAAGATTCGAATTCAAGCATCTCCACTTAAACTTAAAAAAGATCTTGATAAGTTAAATAAATCTCACAAGTGAAATGAAAATACTGTACAGACTTGAAGCTCATCCCTGCCCTTCTCCCTTCACTCTCTGTACCCCTCTGTTTAATTTAAGAAGGGGCTCTATACACCCAAGAGCTCAGAAGTAACCCAATGCAAACGAAGTGAATACAGAGTTGCCAACATGCCAAAGGACCTAGAAGACAAACCCTGAAACGCTTGTCCTTGTAGTCCCGTTCACGGTCTCGGTCTCTTAAGTCCCGAAGGTCCTTATCACTAAGACGGTGATCCTTCTCAAAGGTCCGGGCAGAGATGATTCTTCCACTGCCGATCCTGCGTCCACCAAGCAGGCGAAGCCCATCGCTGTCTTTCTCCAACGGGCTTCCTGAGCGTCGGGAGCTCACAGCAGCTGTCACATGGCAGCCTCCACCAAAGCTTCGTCTCTGTGGACTGAGAACAACATCTAAGTCGTCCTCTTTCACACGCTCTCGAGGATCTAGGAAGGTGCAGGAAAGAGGAAGTTACACACACTAACCAAGGGCATTTTTCTAACCCACATGATTATGTCCGAGACAAGGAGGCAAAATATTGAGTTTATCAACAGATACAGGGTAACACACAGTGGAGATGGTTATGTGCCGTGGAGTTGGTTCCTCAACTTATAGTGACCCTATACAGGGTTACCAAGGCTATAAATCTTTATGGGAGCAGAAAGCCTCATCTTTCTCCCATGGAATAGGTGGTAGTTTCAAACTTCTGACCTTGCAGTTAGCAGCCCGACTCATACCACTATGCTACCAGAGCACACACTGTATATTTAAGAATGAGCCTTCTGCATTTCTCTTTGAAACAATGATGTCAATATACCATAAGCCATTTTCCATAATCTCAGAATGCCTTTACTTTGAGTAAGTCCTTATCTATGCAATTAACACAATTTTGTCAATTAAGGAGTTCCCTTGGGTTAAGCACTCAACTACCACCTGAAAGGTTGGTAGCTGAAACCCAGTTTTCTAATAATGACATTTTTTTCCCCAAAGTATAAACTTCATTCACAGTGAAGAATGAAGCCAGCAGCTAACAGCATGTCCCCAACCTCGCTGATCCCATTCAAAGTGACTGTGGACTCACCCACTATTCTGCGTGCCAAGGAAGGTCGGTCTGTGTCCAATTCCTTCTTCAGATTGTCCACTGGTGAGCTCCGCCCTGAAGCTGGGTAGAGAGAGGCATGCCACTTCTCAGGGTCCCAGACACCATCGCTGTGTTGTCAAAGGTACCAACAGTTAGCACTTGTTCACACTTCTTAACACAAAAAAGAGTTACAGAAATCCCTTTACAATTTTGTGGTTGCCTTCAGAATGGTTATCTCTTTTAAGATAAAATAAAAAACACTTATAGTTCAGTAATATTTTCACTGTTCACAAAACACCAGTAATTCACCTATGAAACCAGTGGTCTGCACATAAACGAAGCATTCAGAGCACAGAGCTTGAGCACATATCACCATACCTCTGCCTGACCTACACAAAGGGACACTCCATATGTATTGATTATGCAGTTTACTGAAGATTATTACATTTAAGCAAACCCCCTTTAGCCCTCTCTCCAAAAGCAGTTCCTGTAATGTTTTGGTATATACAAGCTCAGGTTTTGTTTTGTTTTTTTCCAGATACAGGGCAGACAACTCTTAAAAGAACTAAAATTTGCGATTTAGGTTTTATTTTATTAATGGAGTGGCAGATGGTATAGTGTGCTGAGCTGAGAAGTAGCGTTGGAGTCTGACAACGTAAGATTACATTCTAGCTCTGCCACTCATCCTTGGGGACATCCTGGACAAGTTACTGAGCTGCATCCTCAAGTGCCTGCAGAGAGGACATCCCTCTGCAGACTGTTATAGCCTGTAACTCTCCTTCCACAGACCACTGTCCCAGGGAGAGAGGGACCTTTAGACAGCACCAGGCACAGCGATACCAAAGGAATATTCCTTGAGTAAACGAGTACCTCACAGCCTCAAACTCCTTGTCAGGAAAGGAGATAGCAGTTACCTCCTGCAGTAGTTGTGAGGATTACTTGGTGTTTTAGAGCAGAACAACTGTAATTCGCTGAGACAAGAGAAACCACAGAATGAGAAGACCACTCAGCTTTCTTATTACTACTATTGCTAATGTCATCTGCTTCGGGATAAAATGGAGTATGTCCGCCATGACAACATTATTCGAAGTACATTCTTCATCAATGGTGAGATAGTAGGTACAGGCTTAATAAGCATCTGAATAATCCATATACAAGGGTGAGTCAAAAAGTATTGCTAAACAGTCATAAAACCATTTATTAAATAAAAATATAAAAATGTGAAGCTATTGTTTCTCAACATATCTAGGTCTGTACCTTCTGAAAGTGGTGTTTCCATTTCTCTAGCCTGTCCCCAAAGAATTCTGCACTCTTTGACTTACATCACATCAAAATGGCAGGTTTGTAATCCTCTTAATTTACCATATCTGGTGTAACCGAAATTTCATGACTAGATGCACACACCCTCATACCTGTCATATTTTTCAGAGAGGCATGAAGGTCTCTGTTTGGAATAGGGACGTTCTTTTATATCCAAGAGCTCCTCCTTAAAAGAGAAATTAAATGGTGATTTAGAAGCAGGCCACAAAGTTGCAATTGATTTTTGTTCTGAATAATTCTGAGGGTCTACCTTAAGCATTTCAAGTAGTGCTCATTTCTACCTTAACTTGTTCCAGAAATGACTAGTGTCAGATCCAGGTCAGCAGTATTATCAAATAACTTATGAGTGATCAGCTTCTTGATAACACACGTTTCACTCATAAGCTGCTATTCAATAAAGTTATATTCAGTAACAGTGAATGTTCATTAAGGTACAGAAATGTTTGCATAAAACTTTGCATAAAACTTCCAAGTTAATCTTAAGTGTCATTAAGATTCCAATTAACAAGTGGGTAGTTTTTTTTAATGTATATTAGAGTTTTGAGAATAAAATAGCAATCCATAGCTAACATCATATTCGATTATAGAAGACTGAAAGTTTTTTCCCTAAGATTAGGAACTACACAAGGAAGCCCTCTTTTGCCTCTTCTACTGAACAAAGTACTGGAAGGTCTAGTCAGAACAATCAAGTAAGAAATAAAAGGCATCCAAATACAAAAGGAAGACAAAAACTAATTCTATTTACAGATTACATGATTTTATATAGAGAAAATTACAAAGAATACACACACAAAACTATTGTTGTTATTAAGTGCCGCTGGTTCAGTTCTGACTCATAGCAACTCTGTGTAGGGTTTCCAAGAAGCAGGTGCTGGTTTGAACTGCTGACTTTGTAGCTAGCAGTCCAGTGCTTACCCTACAGTGCCATACCAGGACAAAAAACGATTAGGGCTAATAAACTCAGCATAGTTGCAGAATACAAGATCAACACACAGAAATATTTCTAAATATTAGCAATGACTATTCTGAAAATGAAATTAAGAAAATTCCTTTTATGTTATTAGCAAAATAATAAAAGGCTTAGAAATACATTTAGCCAAGACTTGTACAGTGTTCCCCATCTGTAGCAAATAAGAGAAAACTCAAAGACGTATGGAAACAATTAGTTCAACTCAGTTTGCCTGCGACACTCAGCCTCCACAACCTGATGATTAGCTAGCTAGAGGGTATCCGGCTATCACTACCAACTGCTCTGAAAGGGAACACATTAAAAGGTCCTGGATAGAGTGGGAAAGAAATGTGGAACAAAATTCTAAATCATTAAAAATAGATCAGGCTTACTAGTGGGATAGAGACTGGTGGAACCCCTGAGACTATGGCCTTTAGTCACCATTCAGGTCTGGAACTATACTCACCCTCGAGGCTCAATTTTCAGCAAAACAACAGACAGGCCTATAAGAGAACAGTTAACACTAGAGAGATTAAGTGTGTGCTCCTAGAACATAACAAGGCAGCATTTACCCAAGGACAAAGTTCAGAAGGGTTAAGAAAAATGGAGGAATGGAAATGGGAAGCAGGGAGGAAGGAGGATTAAGTTACATTGTGGGGATTACAATCAGAGATAAAATCAACCGTTATGAATTGTTGAATGGAAAACTGATTTGATCTGTAAACCTTCACCCAATTCACAATTAAAAACAAAAAAACTTGTACATCAAAAACTATAGAACATTGTTGGGCTAAATGAGTTCAATGGAATGACTTCCTATGTTCATGGATTTGTTGTTGTCAGGTGCTATCCATTTGGGTCTGACTCAGTGACCCTATGTATAACAGAGTGAAACACTGCCTAGTCCTGTACCATCCTCACAAGTGGCTATGTTTGAGCCCACTGTTGTAGCCACTGTGTCAATCCAATTTGTTGAGGGTCTTCCTGTTTCTTTCTACCAAGCATGATGTCCTTCTCCAGGGATCAATCCTTCCTGATAACATGTCCAAAATCTGGCCATCCTCACATCTAAGAAGCATTCTGGCCATACTTCTGCCAAGACAGATTTGCTTTTTCTGGCAATCCATGGCATATTCTGTATTCTTCAACATCACAATTCAAACACATCAGTTATTCTTACATGTTAATTATTCATTGTCTAAATAAGACTGTGTTGCCTGCATGTTGCAGGTTACTAATGAACCTTCCTCCAACCCTGATGCCACATTCTTCTTCACATAAGTCCTGATTCTTCGAATATTTGCTCAGCATACAGATTGAACAGTATGGTGAAAGGACTGGAAGACTAACGCTATTAAGTAATGTAATAATGCACAGTAATCTACAGATTCAATACACTCTATCAAAATTCCAATGGCCTTTTTTCTTGTAGAACTGGAAAAGCTAATCCTAAAATCCATATGGAATTATAAGGGGCTCCAAATAATTAAAACAATCCTGAAAAAGTTGCAGAACTTACACTTCTAATTTCAAAATATACATGAAGTTACAGCAATCACAAGTGTGTGATACTGGTGAAAGGACAGACACATAGACCAAAGGAAAATAACAGAGTCCAAAAATAAACCTGTACATTTTAGTCAATTGGTTTTCAATGAGGATGTTGAAAGCCATTCAGTGAAAGAGCAGACCTACATTAGCAGGTGCTGGGACAACTGGATGGATATTCACATGTAGAAAAGTGACATGGTGAGCCTCTACCTTTGCCCATATGCAAAATTTACCTCAAAATGTATCAGAGAACTAAACCATAAAATTGTTAGAAAACGTAACCATGTATGTTCCTGCCCTTGGATTTGGCAATGGTTTTAGATAACCAAAAAGCACAACTTCATTAAAATTAAAAACGGTGGTGCAAAGAGCATTATTAAGGTAATGAAAAAACCCAAGGAATGGAAAAATTATGTACAAATCCTGGTTCTGATAAGGATCCAGTATCTACAACATATAAAGAACTCCTACAAGGAGCTCTGGTAGCGTAGTGGTTATGAATTGGGCTGTGAACCTTAAAGTCAGCAGTTCAAAACTACCAGCCGCTCCGTGGGAGAAAGATGAGGCTTTCTACTCCCGTAAAGATTTACACCCATGGAAACCCTGTATAGGATCGCTATGGGTCGGAACCGACTTGATGGCACTTAACAACAACAACAATTCAATACCAAAGACAAACAACCCAATCCAATTAAAAATGGACATAGGACTTGAAGAGACATTTTTCCAAGGAAGATAGCCTTGAAAAGATGCTTGTCATTGTTGTTGTTATTAAGTACAGTTGAGTCAGTTCTGACCTGTAGTGACCCTATACAGGGTTTCCGTGGAACAGCTGGTGAGCTTGAACTACCAACCTGGCGGTTCAAAGCGACTTTGCAGTTCAACGCATTAATCCACAGTGCTACAACAGGACCCCATGCTTGTCATTGTTGTTGTTGTTAAGTGCCATCAAGTCAGTTCCGACCCATAGCAACTCTGGATAGGGTTTCCGAGGAGCAGCTGGTGAGCTTGAACCACCAACCTTGCAGTTCTAATGGCTTTGCAGTCTGGCACATTAACTCACAGCGCCACACCAGGATTCCACTTATGCTTGTCATTAGTCATTATAAAAATGCAAATCAAAACCACAAAAAGATACCAGTTCACTAGGATGGCTGAGAGTTCTAATGTGGCACTATAGGATCCGCACTGGACTGTTAACTACAAGGTCAGCAGCTGAAACCCACCAGCTGCTCTCAGAAATGCTATACAGGGTGGTTACAAACCAGTTTGATAGCACACAACAACGAGGATAGCTAAAAACAATTTTAAATCATTTTGGTAAATTCAGATGAACAAAACTTAGATTAATAAGTGTTGGCAGTGATATGGAGAAATGCCTCATTTATAGCAGGCAGGCCTGTAAAATGGTGCAGCTTCAATGGAAAACAATATATTGCTTCCTCAAGAAGTTAAACATAAAACTATCACGGGATCTAGCAACTTCACTCCTAGATATGCTCATAAGAATTAAAAGCAGAGACTCAAACAGATACCTGTACACTAATGTTCATAGCAGCATTATTCACAGTGGTCAAAATGTAGAAACAATCTAAATGCCTATTAGTTGATAAACGGATAAACAAAATGTGGTATATGCATGCAAGGGAAGATTTATTTAACCAGAAAAGGGAATGGCTGTGCTACATAAATAACATGAATGGACCTTGAAAACATGCTCAGTGAAAGAAGCCAGAGACCAAAAAAACAAAATCACATATGATTTCATTTCTCTGAAATGTCCAGTATAGGCAAACCTATGGGGACAGAAAGCAGAATAGTGGCTGCTAAGGGGTGAGGAGACGGGAATGAGGAGTGATTGCTAACACTTTGAGGCTTCCTTCTGGTGTAATGACAATGTTCTGTGCTGTTGTTGTTAGGTACCATTGAGTTGGTTATGATTCACAGCAACCTTATGCACAAGACAATGAAACACTGTCCCGTTCAGGGCCATCCTCACAATCACTGTTAAGCTTGAGCTCATTGATGCTGTCACTGTGCCAGTCCATCCTGTTGGGGGTCTCCCTCTTTATTGCTGACCCTCCACTTTACCAGCATGATGGGCTTCTCCAGGAACTAGTACCTCCTGATAACATGTCTGAAGTATGAGAGATGAAGTTTCACCATCTTGGCTTCTGACACATATTTGTTTGTTCTGCTGGTAGTCCACAGTACTTTTAATATCCTCTCCAACTCAAATACATCAATTCTTCTGTGGTCTTCTTATTCACTGTACAACTTTTGCAAGCATATGAGGATATTAAAAACACCATGGGTTGGGTAAGGTGTACCCTAGTCCTCACACTTGAACACTTTAAAGAGGTCTTTTGCAACAGATTTGCCTAATGCAATACGTCATTTGTTTTCTTGACTGCTGCTTCTGTGAGTGTTGACAGTAAATGAAGTCTTTGTCAACTTCAATCTTTTCTCCATGATCCTCCATTTATCATGTTATTTATTGCTCCAGTGGTTAAGGATTTTTGTTTTGTTCTGTGTTAGATAATGATAATGGCTGCATGACTTTGTGAACAGACTAAACACCACTGAATTGTACACTTTACAAATGCAAATTTTATGTATATGAATTATATCTCAATTAAAAATTATTTTTAAAAAATGAAATGATG